GATCTCCAGGTGGTGCCCACCGGGTTGCCTTCCAACGTGACCACCCTCAGCCTCTCGGCCAACAAGATCACCTCGTTGCAACGGCGTTCCTTCGTGGAGGTGACCCAGGTCACCTCCCTCTGGTTGGCGCACAACGAGATCCGCTCCATCGAACCCGGTACCTTCGCCATCCTGGTGCAGTTGAAAAACCTCGACATCAGCCACAACCAGATCGTGGACTTCCCTTGGCAGGACCTCTACAACCTCAGCGCTCTCCAGCTGCTCAAGATGAACAATAACCACATGGCTCTGGTGCCTCAGGGGGCTTTCCACACCCTGAAGGACCTCCGGTCCTTACGCATCAACAACAACAAGTTCACCAGCCTCGCCGAGGGGATCTTCGACTCGCTCAGTTCCCTCTCCCACCTGCAGATCTACAACAACCCCTTCGAGTGCTCCTGCAAGCTCCAGTGGTTGAAGAAGTGGATGGACAGCACGCTCATCTCCATCCCTGAGAAGGATTCCATCACTTGTGCCCTCCCGGAGCAGCTCCGAGGAGTGCCGGTGGGCAAGATCCCAGACGTGCAGTGCACCTCGCCCACCGTACAGCTCACCTATTACCCCAACCTGGACACCACGGAGCTCTTTGATGGCTTCACCCTGACGCTGCACTGCGCCGTGACGGGCACCCCACCACCCGAAGTGAGCTGGAAGATCCGCACCTCCAGCCAAACTCTGGAGCTCAACGGCAACCCGAAGGAGAGCGCTGGGAAGGACCTCCCCAAACAGGACCCCGAGCGCTTCTTGGTCTTCAAGAATGGCACGTTGCTGATTCCCCACCTGAGCAAGCGGGAAGAAGGCACCTACACCTGCCTGGCCACCAACGAAATGGGGAGCAACCAGACCTCGGTCAACGTGGCGGTGGCGGGCACCCAGAAATACCCACTGCAGCCCAAGAGGGACCCTCTGGGAGGTAAAGCTCAGCCAGGTGACAAGAAGCCTGGGGCCAAGGGAGCAAAGAACAGCGTGCTCATGCCAGATGAGAGGAACAAACCCCTCGATCCCACCCGGCAGAGCCAACCATCCTCGGCAGCTGGGACGGAGTCCACGGGAGACGGGCAAGTCCCTTTCCAGCTTCCACCCTTTGAGAAGAAGTGTGGCTCCACGCAAACCAGCAAGTACATTTCCAACCACGCCTTCAACCAGAGCGGCGACTTCAAGCAGCACACGTTCGACCTGGGGGTGATCGCTTTAGATGTGTCGGAGCGTGATGCCCGGGTACAGCTCACACCCACCTACATGCAGCCCGAGAAGGTCCACCTCAGGATGCTCTACCTGTGCCAGGAGAGCAGCCAGGGCCACGCCTTGGTCCAGTGGTCCAAGATCGAGGAAGGGGTGAACTCGTACTGGTTCCAGGGCTTGAACCCCGGCACCAACTACTCCGTGTGTCTCACCTACCTGGGGGAGGACTGCCAGGTCCAAGTGGTCTTCACCACCAAAAAAGAGATCCCCTCGCTCATCATCATCGTGGTGGTGAGCATCTTCTTGCTGGTGCTGGCCACCTTACCTCTGATGGGGGCCACGTGGTGCCACCTCCTCTCCAAGTACCAAGGGAAAACCTACAAGCTCATTATGAAGGCCCAGAACCCGGACCAGATGGAGAAGCACATGGCGGCCGACTTTGACCCCCGCGCCTCCTACCTGGAGTCTGAGAAGAACTACAATCCCAGCGAGGTGGGGGAAGCGGACGCGGAGGAAGAAGACGAGGAGGAGGACGACGACGAGGAGGAAGGAGGCAGGGGAAGGAGGAGGAGGAGGAGAGAAGCCGAAGGGGCTCCCGAGCTGGAACGAGAGGAGAGCGTGGCTGCCAGCTCCATGGCGGAGTCACAATCCAAAGCCAACGGCGAGGAGTTCGAGGTGCGCTCCGAGTACAGCGACAAGCTGCCGCTGGGCGCCGAGGCCGTCACCATCTCCCAGGAGATCAACGGCAACTACCGGCAGCGTCCCCGCTGAGCCCCCCCGCGCCCCC